GGGGGGAAGGTAAATTTTACCCCGACACAGAAAAACTTTTCCGACTCCCCCCCGCTCCAATAATAAATCATAACTGTCCCTAAGCCAACATTTTTCTCTTCGTAAAATTAGGACAGCAGCAGACCAGCAGATTGGTAAAAAAATAAAAGGTCGAACCATTAGACAGATGGTTTTTCTAACTACAATGACAACATCGCATGCACATACACACATACACACATACATACATACAGACAGACATACATACATACAGACAGACAGACATACAGACATACATACATACATACATAGGTTAATTGACCCTCCCCATAGGGGCTTTTCAGGGCCAACACTCACCCATCTCACCCAAAGGAAGGACATCCACCACACAGTAATCTCGTGCGTGGGGAATTAACGTCTCCTACCCCTAACCCTGCAGGAGACGGGGCCTACGGTTTATTCGTCCTTATCCGAGAAGACTAGAATATCTATCCATTTCTTGATTATAGAAAGGTAGCAAATTCTCCACACTTATTTTAAGACCATGGGTATTGGTCCGACCGGGCCTCGAACCCTCGATCTCCGCACAACACAATCCGGCGCTAACCAACGTGGATCAAGTCAAAGTATCCTGACGAAAAGCCAAGATGACGAAGCAAAAACAAACAGCAAAACAAGAGCATCAGTAAAGCAATTAAGCAAACGCTCAATAGACGTCTTCATCTAGCAAATAAGTAGTGCGCCTGGGAATATTGACAGCGAACAGAGTTAAATTCGACGTTTGAATCAAATGCCGTATTTAACTATTTAACGTATATGAGAATGATCCTTCGCAGTTCGGCACATGCGAAGTTCGACGTTTTGAACTGGGCCTTAACTCGATGCCCTAAGATTTGTCACTGTTTATTTTTCTGTACTGGATTAGCTACGCATTTCTCTCTATTTCTCAAATAGATTCCATTTTCCGTAGGTCTGTACAGTCACAAGTCACAAAGCAAGTCAAAATGTGGTAAGAATATCAGTGACACAGTCGATAGAAAACTGCTCTAAATAAAATTACTTCGCGATATTTAGTTTATTGTGGAGAAATAAAAAATTTCGAGAGGCTTTCAGACGTTCGTGATTTCTTGTTATGTTAGGCGAATAAAAGAGTTCAGACATATGTCAAGGGCTATTGATGTTGTTGTTGTTGTCTTTTTTTAACCATTAATAATTTATCCATTGTTCTATTCTCGAAAAAATTCTGGATGTCCACGGTGCATTTAGCCGAAACCCAAGTCCAAGATGAGGAAAACGGATGCAATTCATGTTCTTCTGCGGGTAACTTGTCTCGTTCTCGTCTCCAGACCCCACCTCGTCGAGACAAAAAGAGCCTTCCAACCAAAAGAAACGGTAATTTTGGTTTCTATGGATGGCTTGGGTTGGCAGTTTATCAGCGGTCAATTTGCAGACACTCCTCATCTCGACGAGGTCGGCCGGGAGGGCGTGCGAGCAAAACATCTCTTCAATGTGGTTCCGACCAAAACCTGGCCAAACCACCACTCTTACATCACAGGACTTTACCCAGAGAGCCACGGGATTGTCTCAAATAAGTTCTGGGATCCTGTTTATCAAGAAAAACTCATTTATGATTATGGCTGTTCAGACCACGACCCGAAGTTCTAAAACGCTTCTGAACCAATCTGTTAACGCTACAAAAGCAAGGTGGAAGTAGCGGGGTTTATTTCTGGCCAGGGAGCCGTGGTTATCACGAAAAACCCATTTTCTACGAGAAGCCTTTTTGTAAAGTCGATTGCAACACGATTGACCCAAAAGAACTTCCGAAATACCGTAACAGAACGTATCCATCGTGGCTGGGTTATAAATACATTCATTGTGTCTTCAATTACACGGAACCTTCCCAGAGCAGAATAGATAAAATTATCAACTGGCTCAAATCGGACGAACCACCGCAGTTTGTAGCCCTGTACATCGATCACCCGGACTGGGAGGGGCACGAATATGGAAGCCATTCTAATGAATACAAACAAGCTATTGAAAAAGTCGATCGCGATGTTGTAGGTTATTTCGTTGATCGATTGCGTGACGAAGAGCTAACAGAAACAGTCAACTTGATCGTCGTCAGTGACCACGGCTTCAACAACATTTCTTCGGAGCGACTCATTATTCTCGACGATTACATCGATCGGTCCACGTACATGTTGACGGAATCTGGGGCACTCGGACACATTTGGCCGAAAGATGGTAAACTGGACGAAATTTACGACAACCTCACCAAAGCCAAAAACCCGCACGTGACAGTTTACAAAAAGGAAGACATCCCAGAGGAGTACCACTGGAAACACAATCGCCGCATCCCTCCCATATTTATCAACCCCGAAGTGAGTTGGGATATCGAGCAGTCCCGCGGGAACACTAGCGTGTCCTGGGTTTACGGGACACACGCCTGGCCGCCAAACGAGAGTCGCAGCTATCCAATTTTCTTTGCCCGTGGTCCCGCATTTAAAAAGGATTTCGAAATTGCGCCCTTCAAGATACTCGATCTCTACCCTCTGATGTGTCACCTCCTTGGAATTGTACCTCAACCAAACAATGGCTCAATGAAAAATGTGATGCCTCTTCTTCTGCAAGACCCTACCGACCCACCAACCACAGGTCTACCCCTAATCACTAGTCAAGCGGAAGTGACCATGCAGCGACTTCCGGTTTTAATGGCTGCATCTACTTGCTTGCTAATTCTTATCTTGGGAACTTTCCAGTAAGCTTAATTTTTTCCCAGAAAATTCAAGAAAGGTCCTTCTTAGTAAGGGGGGCATAAACTTTTTTTTAGGAAACACATAAACATACACTCTCCATTAAATAGAGTTGTATTAGTTTCTGTTTTAATTGCTGTAGGTTTTCAAACAAAGGTATGAAAACTGTGTAAGGTATTCACTAATTCTGAGTGACAGTCTAGAAGAAAAACAGTAACTTTTACCAGGGCCTTCAATAAACTTTTCATGAACACCCCCTTTCTCTAATGTCAGAATGCCACTCTAGCTGAGAATAACACTAGATACATGTCCTAAAGGGTAAAATTATCACTCGCAAACTAAATACATTTGCATTCTCTACCACTTCAGCATTGGGTTATCTTTGTATCTCTCATAATCTTCTTTCTTGAAAAAAGATATTTCCGTTTCATGTCCTGTGAGGAAATCAAATGATTTTATGGTTGTGAACAAGGTGAAATTAACTGCAGTATGTCATTTTTACCCTTCTCCTACAGTTACATTTAACAGTTTTAACTTTTTGATGAATAGACCCAGTAAATTCATTGTGTCTTTAAATTTGACAACAAATGAACAGAAAACCAATATGTTAAGTGACAGTTAAATTTCAATATAAACTATACCATCATCAGACTGAAAATACATACAAAATTAGGAGCTTAAATAGTTACAAAAGGTATACTCAAGAGAACAGGCAAAGTTCTCTGCTGGCACGTTATTGGTTTATCACCTGTTGACCTCTACAAGTGACCAGAATCCAATTTCTCCTTACAATATCGCTTCTAGATCACACATTAAGGTCACCAGAATAAAGGAAATGATCATCAACTGAAGGAGATCGTTATTGTTAAACAAATTCTCCTTGTCAGCACCTAAGAAAATGTATAGAGAACAGTATGGAGAATATGTATTCTGATGTTTGGTTATAAAAGGTCAACCCTGAGAACTAAACCACTGCAGCAGTTTCACCAATGTTTTACTGGGGAGGGGTCTGGGTAGATTTGCCAGGGCATTGCCAAGTACTTTCACTTAATTTGTCACTCAACATTACTGATGCTTTGGAAACCAGGATAAGTAAACATATAGTGTGGGAAACATACCAATTCCATTCTCTGAAAGACTGCAGTCGTGTCTTAGCATAAGCATCTCATCATTCTCTGTGTTGATCACTGGATCACTTGTCTAGAAAATGAATTTGTGTGACTCTCATTAACCCTTCAACTACCAAGATCTGATTGTTAATTCTTTCCTCTAGCTGCTACACATTTCCTTGCAAATTGGTTATGAGAATTTGGTGTTAGATCAGGATAACAACTTCTACCTAATAATTCTGGGTACTCTCATGACCTTTTTGCTGGATAATAAATGGATAGAATAGAGCTATCCATTGAGCTAACTGCCTCCCGGTTAGCTCAATGGATAGAGCGCTGGACTGTTGCGTGGGAGGTCAAGGGTTCGAGCCCCAGCCAGACCAACACTCAGGGTCTTAAAATAATTGAGAAGAATTTGCTACCTTTCTATAACATCAAGAACTGGTTAGATATTCTAGTCTTCTCAGATAGGGACGAATAAATGGAGGTCCCGTCTCCTGCAGGGTTGGGGTAGGAGACGTTAATTTCCCACACACGAGATTACTGTGTGATGGATGTCCTCCCCTGGGGTGGGATGGGTGGGAGGGTGGACTAGCATGAATGGTTCCTATGTTCCTTTCTAGTCCTTCCCCACAGCAAAACTTAATGCAGTGAAAATGGACTAAATTAAATTAAATGAGCCATGCGGATTGTTTTTCCATTTGTTCCATATAGCGACGCATTAAATCAAGCTAACTTGGAGACGCTCTCCCAACCCAGGCAGTCTATCACAACTAAGCTTTTTGATTCCATCACTTGTAACTCAGACCATATACTGTATAAGCTCTTGCCTCCTCATAACAACTATGAACTCAATCTGAGACGAAAGAAGAAATTTAATGTTCCTCTGGCTAAGACGAAGAGACTCATGAACACATTTATATATAGTAATTGTAGTTAACTTGTGTACATTTTTCTTATATTTTTCTCATACTTTTATTAGATTTTACTATTGTAACAATTAATCTAATTCAGCTTATGGCTGCGATTTTAATCAGAATAAACTATCTATCTATCTAGTATAGGGAGAGGTAACTTGTTTGTTAAAAGGGGTTAACTACCTTATCTTTGCTCTCTAGTTACCCACATTAAGGTCAGTCTAACAGAGACACACATCACTATGCAAAACTTGACCCACCTTAGCACCATGGGCCTTATGCTGAATTTTCATAGTGTCTGTTAAAGTTGTTGAAAGAAGATTAAAAAAAACTTGGTATAAGAAAATGTATATTTTCAATATTAGGTCTACTGAAATAACAGTCAAAATAATCATTGAAACAATTGGAAATTTCCCCCAACCTTTGCATTAAATGAGCTGACATAACACAAAAAATAAAATTACGATGAGAACATCAAGGAAAGGGGTTTCATTAACGTTTTCAGCAGGAGGGCAACTGGTTTTCACAGGCGGGCAAAACTTTTTGAACTGAACTTCTCTATATGATAAACTTTCCTCCAGATTGTCAGACCAGGAGGGCAAAACCATCCTCAAGAACTGGTAAATTTGCCTGGTGCCCAGGCCCTTAATGAAACCCCAACAACGAAGTGGCAAAGATCCATGAAAAATTTTAGTGCAATGGAGGTGTAGGGGTGAATTTTCAGTGAATTAGATCACTATTTGGTCCCTTGTTCTGAACTTAATTGTGATTGGGTAGTACACAATTGACCCTTAAGAATAAAATAAAAGTGACTGTGTTAATGGTTTTCTGAATGTCAGGGTAAATGAGAACTTTTTAAATAAGGGTCATGCAATGTTATTTTATTTAGTGGAATCAATTACTTGTAGTATTACGAGAAGAATTATTGCAGCAACAGACCATATGCAAAGGTCCTGAATGGAAGGGGCACATCAGGTCTTTTCTTTATCTCTGTTAAAATGAGCACAAATTCTAATTACTAAATGGAATTCACAGAACATAAAGCAAAGGGTAGAAAACAAAAAGGAATTTCACTCCCAGGTTATGCCCTTAGACTCCTTCATGTATAATGACAATTTCATGGGCATAAATCCTCCTTGAGAGCAGAATTTCCACTTTGCAAAGTTATGCTTAAATATTTTTGGAGCAAGATTTCAGTTCAAATTGGGCAAACTTAAGCTGTTCTTCCGGTTCACTGACTCTTAGTTGTACGTGTCTGAATTAAGTAGCGAAAAAGAGAAAACAAAAACAAAACAATCAAATTAGCCTTATCAATTGTTTAGGGCGTGAAGGCATTTCCCATAGCTTCGCAAAACTCTCGCAAACCTTCCATCGTTTAGGAAGATACTTGCTCTTGTCTCTGCAAAAGCCATTACTTGACCACATTTTCACACCAAGCAGTAAAGTAGCATCGTCATCATCGAAATTTTCACCCTAGAGTATATGTTCCGAGACGGAAACCCCTCGTGTGTACCGGACCTATAAGACATTTTTGAAGATAAAGACTTACCGGAAACGACAAAGTCCATGAAATCTTCAGCTGTTTGTTCCAATGACACATCTTTAAACACGACATATTTGATACTCCTGTATTCAAAGGACCTTATCAGACGCACTGTAACAGTCGCTCCACAAGATTCAGCTCGTGCCTCTTCATACATCGTTCCAAATTAATAAGAAATATTTTCCGAAATATTGAGGAGCTGTCAAGAGTCCGCCATGTTGTGTGACTGTGCGACCGCTCATTTACAACGGCTGGCAAGAAGGGCACTGGGACTAAGGCTGCCCGAGATCAGTGTTGTTTCCAGAGTTCTTACACTCAATTTGTATTTAGACTCAACCACTCTGTGCACGCTGTCTTACGCGTCCAATAAAGAATAATGTCCACGGACGGTGAAAAGATCGATAGACCAAGTTACCAGGCCTTGGAAGAAGCGCTGAACTGCATGAAGAAAGCTTACGACATCATGAAAGGGGAGGCGCTGGAACTTCAAAAGGAGAAAGAAGCTTTCGATTCTGTTGCAAAGAAACTCGAACACGTGAACTTTGCCTCGACTGTTAAGTTAAATGTTGGCGGCCAGCTATTCAGCACAAGCCTACAAACGCTGAAAAAGGATCCAGGCTCCATGTTACACGCTATGTTTTCAGAAAGATTCGACACAAAACCAGCTGAAGATGGAACTTACTTCATCGATCGCGATGGAACACACTTCCGGTATATATTGAATTACCTACGAACAGGGCGGCTTCTAGTACCAGATGATCGTTTGGTACAAAAAGAACTGCTAGAAGAAGCTGAGTTCTATCAGATCCGTGGAATTATCGATGAGTTATGTCCTCAACCATTCTTAGAGTCCAAAATTCTATCCGATGAGCATAAGGACATAATGATAAACCAATGGCTTAAAGATCAACTGGACCTTCCCCACTCCACTTTTGTGCTGCTGTATCGTGCTTCTCGAGATGGATGGTCGACCGCTACTTTCCACACCTGTTGTGATAAGAGAGGGCCTACTGTGGTTGTGGTGAAAAGTAACGACTCTTTGTTTGGAGGTTTCACAGAGCAGTCATGGGATTGTAAGTATTTCGTACACGTTCTCACTTTTAAGTTTTTGCGTAGTGCTCAATTTAAGTGTAGAATCATACACGCATTTTGAGTTGCTCAGGGCTCCCATTGATAACAGACAGCTTATTGCGTCTGAAGGGGCTACCCTGAGCGGTATAAATTAATAAAGGTTCTTCTTCTTCTTCGTGCTTGTGTTGGAGGACGGATGCGTTGATGACATTGTAATATTCACTCCACAGCTCCAACAATTGTGGTTTAGTTTGTGCATGCATAAACCGCTTTGCAACGCCACGTGTTTGCAATTGTCAGGAGGTCTAGTAAGTAAGAGTGATATATAGAAGCCGCTGTTACGGACATCACCACTGTCGGTCTGTGAAGTATTGGATCACAGAAGACATCAAAATGTCTTGGCTGTTACTTTGTTCTTTACCACATTTTGACTACATCCGGTGATCTCTTGCTGTACAGACCCATGGCAACAAGGAATCTATTTGTCAACCTGTTGCCTGTGCTCTACTTATGATAATTCTCCCTCTTTCAGCTTCTGGCTCCTACAAATACTGCAATGAGTCATTCATATTCAGCCTTGTCAACCCATCTGGATCTGTACCTACCAAGCTGCCCCTAAAGTCTGATCAAACCAAGTATGGAATCTACTGCAATAGTGGATGTGGCCCAGCCTTTGGAGGTGGACATGACTTAACTATTTGTGAGGACGCAAACTCATCTTCCAAAAGTTACAGTTCCCTGGGTAATTCCTATGAATGCCCACGTCATATCACTTCTACATTTCTCACTGAGGAAAGAACTTTCTTGGTCAGCGAGGTAGAAGTATTTGGTCTCAAAAAGTGGACATAACCATTTTGATTCAAGGCTTATTTTGCGTGTAAAAGTGGTATGGTTGAGCTGTATTTACATTTGGTAACTGTAAGTAAAAACTATAGATTTCAAATACCTAGAATAAGGTACCATGGACCTAACTTTTCATTGTGTAATCAGATTATGAGATAAACATTTGAAGTAACTTCAAAAGGAATTAAAAAACAAAACAAATCAAAACAACACAAAAAAAATCTTCTGGATGTGTAACCAGTTCTCACTGATGTGAGTTTTCCTATTTGGATGTTCAAGTGAGGGACCTTTTTGTGAAACTACTTTACCCTTATGAAATATAAAATCTTTTCTCTTCAAATTTGAATTTACAATAAAATTGCCACCCTTGCTATAATAATGTTTCCGAGACCTTTACTCCATTAATAAAGTTACGATGGGTAAATTCAGCTCCTTGTCAACAACACCAAATCATGTGAATGACAAACAGTCCTTAATACTGATACGAAAAAAAAAAAAAAATGAAAAAAGCTAAGGCTTATCAATCAGTGGCAGTCTGTCATTTTGAGTTTACCTCAGTGGGCTACTGGCAATTGTACAAAAGTTCATCTTGAGAAATATCCTCCTAGGCTACTTTTCCATTGTTTTGTTTTTTTAAGTTTATTTTGATTTTGTTTTGTTTAACTTTGTTTTCTTTTTGTAAATTACACCCAAATTCCTCAAATAAGAATTAACCTTCACTACACACCTCCTTTTTATCATTGGGGCAAGCATAGGTGCTTCCTCCCCAGGTGACTTGCTCTTTGGTACCCCCTCATCCATATTCCCTTCCCCCCTCCCAAAAAACAACAACAACAACAAACAAACAACAACAACAAACAAACAACAACAAAATGGAACAGACCTGATGATGCTTGTTCCACAGGCTAAGTAAGAGACTGAAGTCATATAGAACAATAAATTAAAGTTTGGTTTTTATTCAACCAAAGGAATAGTTTTGTGTGAACTACTTAGAGCAGAACACACATTTTTAGAGTTTTACAAAGCTCATATTGTTCTGGTTATGTCGTAATCTACAATTTACACCATGTTTTAAAGACATTGATGGAGAAACAGAAAAGACAGTGACATTCCAATTACATCTACCAGTATGTTAATAATAACCACAATCTAAATAAACACAAAATATAACTCAGCTGTAGTAAAAACTTCTACCAGCATAAAACTTTCTCCTTTTGTAGAAAATCATGAATGCATTGCATTATTACAAATGAATAAAATATCAAGAGCTATTTACAACTTTGTGCAACCTTAATGCTGCTGTTTTTGGACTGAGGGTTAGCTATTTACTTACATGTATAAATATTAAGTTTTCCAATGACTCTTGAAATGCACTTTCACCAACAAAGGTTGACACAGGCAACCATTACAGCTAACACAATAAAACAAAATGGAACTGACTTTATGTCAAACAACCAAATTTGAGTCAGATTTTTTTCCATTCAAGACTACTGCCTCACTTCTTTATCAAGTCCCTGTGCTTTGCTCACATACAGACATAATATAAACTTCTAATAGAAATCTTAAGTCATTGGAAACAATTTTATCTAAATTCTGCTTCTTTACAGTAGAGATCAATTGAACCTATTCTGACTTGTGACAGTAGAGATCCTTGAGTGTCTTGAGTTCTTCTATTAGTGTCTTATTTTGGTTTTCAAGGACAGCGACTCTGTTTTCAAGACACTTCACATACTCCTTCTTCTTCCGTCTACATTCTTTGGCAGCTTCTCTGTGAAGAAAAAAAATTTGCAAAGTTGTGAATACAGCATGCAAGTTTTGATGTATCAACAAAAAAGACAACCACACTATGATTTCCAGCCAGGTTAATGTCAACCACAGAAACCTGAAAACCACTCAAATTACCACTAAAATCTAGTTATAGGAAACCAACAAAAAAACAATTGTGAAAAAAAGTCATTGAGAGTCTTAAGATTCTCTATCAACTTAAAAGAGTGCAAATTCCATCCCAAGGAATCAATTGCTACAACTTAATTTTTGGGGTTACACTTCATAAATATCTGCTTGAAGAATCTATTAATGAAGGATGTTCAGAAGACAAAAAAAATTGGTGTGATGCATGCTCACAGTTTGTTTTTAAGTTTATAAGCTTGCTAACAAGTGAAACCCACAATTATTGCATGTGAACTGCAGTGATTTGTTTGACAGTCACAATGGGAGGACATTGAGTACAAGTTAGAACTTAGGGGTTACTGCTTTAATGGACCTTTTAGACTAAAGATATCTTGGACAAGTTTTAACATAACCCCTTTTATACAAAGAGTATCTTACCTATTTTTCATTAGCCTCATTTCTCTTTTCCGAGAAGCATCTTCAGCGATTTGTTGGCCGTTTCCACCAATTCCAGGTGAATTTTGAAGAACAACACCTGGAGGCAGATGTCCACGGATGTATTGCTGTTGATTTGCAGGTATCGCATACATTGTACCAGTGTTACTAACTTGGACTTGCTAAAGAAAAAAAGAGGTAAGGCAATCAAATCCAGAAATCCAGACAAGAACCTGATACCGCAGGAGCCTACATCTTAGTTTCCATAACAGGAAGCGACTAGGAATACTTCTTCTCCTGCAGGATGGAATGCCATTACATTGAATGTAACCCCCCCTGCATTTTTTTCAGGCTTCCCTGACAGTTTGGCAGCAGTCACTGATACACACGCGCAAACAGAGGCATTGTAAGAGTTTAGTGTTTACCGCACTAACCCCCTTCCTGATCTCTTTGTTCAAAAAAAAGAATTGAGTATACCAGATGTTGCTAATGTTAACTTTTTCAATCCACAATTTTATACAACTAATGGAGAGCAAGTGCCAGAAGAAGTACATTTTGTCAGTTCAAGAGAATTGCAGCTTTTAGATCTTATTGAGAAAAAAATGTCTTCATATATTGCAATCACATAAAGAAAACAAATATTTTTTTCTCTACCTGTACTTGAACCTCTCCTGGATTAGCTGCGTAAATATATTGTTGACCGTCCTACGAGAAAGGGTAAACAGGATCTGTGAGTGTTGCATAAACATTGCTACTATTCTTTTGAAAAACAACAGCATAAAATTCATGTTTTTTTTTTCAACTTTTACCACAGAAAAAAATTTTTTTCACTTTAACTCTACCATGAGTGGATTGACCTATGGACATGGGCCAAATGTGGATTTTTCTTCTTAAAAGATGTTTCCATGATCTAAATGGTCAACTGAATTTCAGTTCATTGTAACTGACAAGCTAATTATAGTGAGCAGAGTCGTAAAATTAATAGAAACAAGGTTGCACAATTCAGAATGGCTCCACTCTCTTTCAACTCCAATAATGGCTCTCACACTTATGATGTAATGAAAACTAGATGGTTAGAGTAATAAGCAGAAGCACCAAACCAGCCAAAATCACAATACAAGTTCACAGGTCATCTGATGGCTTACATCTCCAGCTAAGTTGTAACATTACGAGCTGCTAAGTTATACCTGTTGCTGCTGTTGATATTGAACCACTGTGCCAGAAGAATTTTGTGCCATGGGCACTGTCTGCAGTCCCTCACCAGATGTCACAATCTGAATAGTTCCTGGAATTGTCACAGTTTGTGGTGCTTGTTGGTAGTTTAATGTACTTGTGGTTATCACAGCAATTGGAGAGGCACCTTCTGTTCCTTCACTTTGGGTCTGGATGTCCTCAGATATCGTCTCTACCTTTGTTGGACTTTCAGAACCAGATAACTCGTTGAAAATTTTCCTACAGAGAGATCCAAATTTGATACATGAGTGTTATTCACTAGCAGTACTAATAAATAAGGCGATTTTTCATAGTTATACACAATGTCTATATTCCATCATGTATTCAATATCATTTAGTGAGGGTTCTATCTACTGTAGATAAAGAAAAGTTTACACTGGCTGTATAGTGCAAAACTGAAAAACAAAGCTTTCTATTATTTTGCAATAGTTTGTAGCTTACACAGGAAGGATTCCTTATCACGACAATTGAGTGCTTACTTTATAGGATCTACACTCAACTACTACAATCAGCATCAAGCAAGGTTAAAAAATTTCCTATCAAAAGTCAGAGGTTAAATTTTTGAATAAAACTATAGTGAAAGGTGTCAAAAATTGCTGAATCACCCTGAAAAATTTAAATTATTTCCTGTCACGTGCCCAACTCTAAGTTTGAATCAACTGATACAAACTTCCCTAATTCAAATGCATGGTCAAACACTTCGGTTAAAACAGATGTGTGAATTTGAGATAGGAAAATAAAAGATCAACATATTATCTTCAACAATATTGCAATATTTTTTATGTCCTGCTAAGACCCATTAACTCGATGTAATCAGATTATTACATAGGTATGACATCAAGTGTTTCAAAATAACCTTCACACATATTATTGCCACCGTCATACAGCGTGATGGATCAAATTGTTCGTTTCCCATTGATACATTTCAACAGGATAGAAGTGGTAAAAATTATTTTCAACCATACTGAAGTATTTTAGAAACGAAGCTGTCTCAATGGAGTACTTATCTTCTATGTTTAAAAGTACTGATTTCTACGAGGTCGAATATCAACCAAAACTTATAATTTCATTTACGTAGATCGAAGTTCATGTTTGAAAAAATTAATGGGCATTTTCGGCAAACCTTCCTTACATTTAATATAGCTCTCAAGTTTGTGTGAACAACTCATGGCATGGGCTACCCACAATAACTTGGAAAGAAAGTCAAAAGCTGACTGTTCAAATAAGCCCGATCAGATCTTGATTATGGGGAAGAAATAAAAATATGTTGGTCTCGCTTTACTGACCTCGATCGCGAAGAAAATGCAATCACGGTTGCTTTACCGAGATTTTTATACTCTAGGTGACATGTAATCGGAGACCTTACCTACCCAGGCGGCACTTTGCAAAGGTAACGTAACAGCTCTGAAGTAACGGAAACAAATGATGGCGACATTTCGTGCTTTGTAAAAAAAAAACTTCGCGCAATATCGTGCGTCAGCATTTTACGTTCCCATGTACGTTTTATTCGACAGTTAAGATTGGAACAAATAGAACACGCTCAATTCTTTATTATGGTGGGAAATACGTGAAATATCACACTATATACAGCGTTTCACGAGTCCCTTTGGATCACAGTGTTTACATAAAACGACGCGATCTTTCGGTGCCTTCGCTGACTCAAGCGTACCTGTAAGATGGCCGCCGGGACAAAATGTCCCTTCGCTTTTTGCTTTCTTCATCTAAGACCCCGCCCGTTGGATCTTCTGTGTCATTGACTCCTTGGACAGCTTGGGCCAAACTGATTTGTTGACCCTGTAGCGAGGCGGAATGAATCGATTGCGCTGTCTGTATGACGGACTGTTGGTTGGCCTGAATCACTGAAGGAGTTTGCATCGGTGGAGGCATCGAAGTTTGCGGTGAGCTTTGTTGTAGAACCTGTCCTTGTTGGACAGTCACAGTGCTGCCGTTTTCCATTTCGGTCACATTGGATTGCTCTTCGATTTGCTCCATGGAAAGCTAAACACCCGAGAGGTGCTGCAGGATAAGGAAAGTCGGAGCAAGGAAAAGCTTTCTGTTTCGTGGTCTCTACAAAGAACCAGAGGAATAGAAAGCGATGAGGTCCACATCGCGATCGCTCGAGATAACCAGGCAAACAAACCACCACACAATCCACTGGATGAATCGACAGAAATCTAGCTAAAATTATAATAGGTTCGCTGTCGCCTCTTTGGAATCTAGAAAAAAAGAAAATGAAACTTACATGCTACGTCACTTCTACGTCACCCTGATTTCTTTACGCAGCCAGCGTGTCGTTGTGTTTCTTCTTCTTCGCGAGGAGCAGTCGCGTCACCTGTGGCGTCACCACTCGAGCTGCCAGCTACTGTGGGGTGGACCGACCCTGCCAACTCCTCTTACATCATCATTACGTCAGTGCCTTGCCACTCAACACCAAATATGGCGAAAAGCCCTAGGGGCGGACCGGCCCCTGACGTCAAGGTATTGTATCGCGGAATAATGTCACGGAAGTCGATTGAGTGCGGTGAATTCAAATTGTATTCTCGCACAAATTTCCTTGGTAAGAAAAATCTTCTCAGCTAGGGTCGCGTCAGTTCGATTGCTGGTTGAAAAACCCACGATAAAAACTGCACTGCAACTTTCTCTGATGGAGAGGTGTGCAACCTCTCTCTACTCAAACGAAACGACCAGAAAAGTTGTAAAACTTTATTATCATTCAGTATATTTTTTAATTGTAGAACTTACGAAAAATAGTTGACAGTTATGCTCAAATGACGTAAGGTTCGATCAAATATAATTTCACCAGAAATAGGCTTTTAAGAAATATTGGTTCTATTATCGGCACAAATCATCAAATGTCAAATTATGACGTAATTTCAAAGGTGAAAAGTTCACTTTGGCACTTTACAAAACGCCTGAGTATGGCAAAGAAATTAGAATAATAAATCTGATACTCTGAGGTTTAAAGTTTATATTTAAACAACCTTGGCCAACACCAAGCTGAATTTTTTCTCATCCTCGACATTCAATTCGTTTTCAATAATTTCTTCTTATTATCTCAATATAAACAATACTTTTAGTAATATTACGAAACGCTGTAGTCGAAGCTTTTTGAAGTAGTGCTCAAGATATCTTTTTGTTTATTTATCACTGCAGCAGGCCGCCTGGAGAAAAATCGTCTTCTCTGAATAAGTAAAGCGAGACACCCTTTATGTCTGTAAACAAATAGTACCTTTGCATTTCACAGCTGAAAGATTCTGACCTTTCTACGTGGTGTAATGTGCAGTACTAGAAGCACTTAAATTCAGCAGAATACACACTCGGCAATCTCTAATTCATGGTTCCTTTGAGATTTCTATATTTTCGGAGAATTTGGAAAATTAAAGTTTGACAGCAAAGCGACTGGAACGTCAAAACCTACCTTTTGTACAACTCTAGTTCTGCATCACTTGTTCTTACATCAATTTTCAGCACTCACTACCGGATCGTCCAGCCATACACGTTTTGTAGTAATTAAAATCTACCTCTCTCTTTCCAGCGGCGGTGTTTATGTGATATATTCAAAACTATCAGTTTCCGAGGAACGGCAAGGAACAAAGAATGCTGCTACAGACCTTTCTGAGTTTTTAAATTCAATTTTGATTCAACTCCCACACGGCGTGTTAAAGAAGATCACATAAGCGACAAGATTAAAGGACGCACAAATGTACACGTTTTGACGTCATCACCCATTCACTCGCCCCAATCCATAGACAGAAGCGCCTAGAAACCGAAGAAAGGTCAACCATGGTTACAGCCAAAACGTATATTTCCTGTGTTAATGACAACCATGATAGAATTCTCGAACGTGACTGGATCACAGCCGCGCAATTTTAACACTAGGAAGACAACACACACGTCACATTAAAATTTGGAAGTGTATAAGTACAGAGGAATACGCTCTCAGCATGTGTAATCACACGGAACGCGTCATTTTCACGCACGATTACACGGATAATTGGATTTATTTTTTGTAGGAAAAAAAAGCAAAGTGCGCTTTTATTTAAACACAAAAACTGAATGTTCCGCACACTGAGTCACAGACATTCTATACGGAGTTTTCCGGACCCATCACAGAGCGAAATGAAGACAGATCATAGGAATCACCGTTTACTCACGATTCTTCATTGAAAATACAATAATGCTTTGTCGGTTCTACCAAATTCCCCTTAAAAGAGAGCTATTTCGCTTTTGCTTTGCCTTAATCCTGTCTCTACAAACATGTCCGACTGAAGAAGAATTCTTACGACACCCACAGCGCGCCGCCATGCTTCTTTCTTAGCTGTGTAATTATCCCAGACATGGCTCTTGACTTTGCGAGTCTCTTGCTTCGAGTCAAAGAGATCTCGGAAATGATCGGTGGAGAATCCCGCGGGATCGCGCGGAGGAACGCGATCCATTGCGTGACCGCCTTTGATTCCTTCAGCTCTCAGAGGTTGTCCTCGATGATCATCAGAATGATCGTCTTGAAATCTTTCAAGATCATCCAGTGTCAGACCTTCGTTGACTAACTTTTCAACATAGCTAGATGCTCCGCTGTGTGAAGTAAAGTTTCCAGAGTTGAGAAGAACGCTGCACAAAAAGTCTTTGAGTCCTTGGGCAAATGCAGTGTACACCAAAGGTCTGAACACCTCTATGCTTTCTTGTAACCATCCCGAGAGAGGATTGAAAGAGAACGACGGTGCAGTATCATTTTCTGTTAAAAATTAAAAATAATAAAAGTATGAGAAAAAAAAAAAAAAAAAAAAAAAAAAAACCTCTTTCAAAATAGCTGGTCTAATTGTTGGGGGATGTACAACTCGCTTAGCCAAATTAACCAGAGGTACTAGGACTGTACTTTTTTAATTCTCTTCCAAAGGAGTTGACTCCTACTACAGCGATGCTTCTTTTCTCTGCTCTAGAGAGAAGCACCGACATATTAAGTAGGAAAACAGTAGAAATATTTGGGTTAGCTGACCGTGAGAGTTTCCATGGTGTATCCGTTCATTTTGCAAAAGGGGGGAAACTGGGTGGCCCTAATCGAAGTACTCGGCGAGCGCCAAGGAACCAATTAACCGGTAACAGTCGAGCTGCGCACAAGAATCGCGCACGCAAACAGGGACTTCAGTGTGGGTAAAACTCAAGGTCAGCTTTACCAACGCAAACACGACCACCTATGAAACTAATTATTCCCGACCATAACAAGCAATTACAATGTCTAACATGGTAATAAGGAAATGCGCGAACTGGACATAGTTCAAGTACACACTTAAAAAATAAAAGATCAAAACTATAATTCTACCAAAACAACACGTAGGCGCAAAAGGCAAGGCTTAACAAAACAAAAAGCTTAACTGAAAAAGTCTCAAAATAACAACTTCCAATTTACCTCACAACATAATTTTCATTCCAGATATGGGTTTCAAATATCTTGAAAAGGATGCAAAACAACAACAACAACAAAAAAATTGTCAGCTAAAGGAAAAAAATGGACTGGTTAGGGTGCCAAAACGTGCTTCTCTGTTATTAAAATTTGATTTTAAAATATGGTTACTGGGGGGCCGTTTCTCGAAAGTCGCGGTAACTTGACGGGCCCGAAGCCATGTTTTAAAATCGAAATCTATAGGATGGGAAAGCAGGTTCTGGCACCCACACCAGTCCTTTTTGTTTCTTTAGCTGATAGTTTTACTGTATCATTTTCAAAATTTTTGAAATCGCCATCTTGAATGAAAACAGAACAGCTTTACGGGCCCGTAAAGTTACCGAAACTTTCGTGAAAAGGGCCCCCGGTCCGGAAAAAAGCAGTCTGGCCCCAACCTCGTTCCTGGGGCCTTTTCCCCTTAAGGTTGGTCTGGTACCGACATCAACCAGTTTACATTATTCATGTATAGTGGTAAGTGCCCGAAACGGTTTTTCAATTTTACTTTCTCTTATACAAATCGACAAACGCTCCCAAAACCACCGCGCAATGGTTCGTTATGGTTTACATACCTACGGTCAGTCGTCGGATACAAGCGGCTTCAATTTCACCCGCTCCAGGTAGAACTCGGCCACAGGACAGGGCATTTTTCAAACGATAGATCGAATTCCAGAACCTTTCCTCCATATCACAGAGAACATCTTTACAAGGGCTACAGAGAAGTACTGTCTGTAAAGGACTGTTGAAATCTGTGGGCGACGGATACCAAGGAGAAAAAGAAATAATAAACAAAGGAAAATGATAACAGAAAAGTACTACAATACAAGCAATCCCTCCTTTTCGGCTAAGTCCATCCCGCCAGTAAAAAAGCAAAGTCAGAGAAAAAGGTAATACATGTTGACGCGTCGCGAGGAACTCTGGGGAGTGGGGCGTACGTAGGGATATACTTTTCGCGCGCCTCATTCCCAGCTGGGTTTCGCACGACATGCTAACATCAACTTTATTTTGTTACTGATAACTTTTCTTTACTCGCGCGACGGACTTTAACGAAATTGAGAGACTACTCGTAGTCTGGAAAGGTAAAATAACAGTGATTATTATACATTGTAGTCACCATCTGTCTTCTCATTGGCTAAACGCCCACAGTTAATTCTGGGAAACAGCGCAACCTACAGATTATTCAATAATCTGTAGGTTGCGCGCGCAATGCATGATTTCCGGTGGAGCAATGTCAAGTTCACGGACAGCGAAGTAAGAATGGCTTCTCGATTCGCTTCATTGACCCAGCGAGAAATTGAGAAATTACTTGAAGATAAAGATTCGGAAAATACTAAAAGATCGACAAAAGTGGCGAAGGAACTTTTCTACGAATACCTTGAAGAGAAAAATATCCAGAAGCCACACGACAAAAAGGAATTAGCCCAAGTGTTGAAATCTTATCATGTGGAAGCGCGAAAAAAGAATGGATCGTATTGTTCGAAAATAAACTGTGTTCGCTGCGATAATGCATTTGGCGTTGTTTTCTTCAAAACAATGTATAATAAAACAATTATTGGATTCGGTTTTTGTGACATCCGGAATAATCAAGGTCTCAGTTAGTGTTATCAGTCTCAGCCTTCGGCTTCGGCTGATAACACTTACCTCGACCTTGATTATTCCGGATATCACTAAAACCTTATCCAGTAATTGTTTATAATTGGCGTTATGGACGCCGGAAACTTGGTGACCTTTAAAGATAGAGGTTTTTCGCGGGTTTCATGACTAGGTGGTGGAGCAAATTGCATACGTTTGATTAAGTCGCGACTGGTTTTAGAAAGCGTTTCAACCGAGCGTCGTAAATTCGAAATCAAAGTGATGGAAGCACCCAATCAGAGCAAAGACATCTATCACAAGGAGCCAATGAGACTTCAAAGTAAAAACTGGCATTCTGCATTATGCCCGGGAAAACGCGCGTGCGCTTGTCGCGATTGGTTTAAGTTTTTCAAAAGGCTGCCGGCGTGAGTTTTCTTGACCAATCAAAGAACGTTGTGAAGGAAAGCCAACGTAATCTCAGATTATTGTCAACTCAGACAGAACTTGTCGAGACAGGAAATAAACAACTTATGTTTCCCAACAGGCCTCGAATTGATGCACTTGACACAGTTTGTAAGGTAATACTGGTTTTATCAACTGAGTTGATCATGTAAATTGACCACCGTAAAGAGTTTCAAAGCTGACTTTCAGAGCGTTAGCCCTTTGTCAGAGCGAATATTCTGCACAAATATTCTATACTCTCTGAGGAAGGGTTAACGCTCGAAACGTCAGCTTTGAAACTCATTACGGTGGCAAATTTACATTAATAACTCAGTTGACAAAACCAAACTACCTTGTTACTCCCAATGACGCAGCACTACAGTTTCTTGAGAAACTCACCCCCCTTTATTACAGTTTGTAAGGCTTCAGTCCTGATATGATGGTTGCGATCTGATGTAAATTGCTTTACAGCAACAAATCCTTACTGCCTACCTTTGCAACCCGAACTCGCCTCGAACACTTCTCTAACAAGAACATACTGACAGGTCTTCATCACTCTGACGTCACGAGCCCCGCTGCCTTTTAACTTGCTTTGTCTAACTAAACATGGCGCCCAGCCAAGTTCCCACGTTTCTATGGTAACAGGTCTTCCCAAATCCTGCTTTCTTAAGTCAGCAAGATAGGTAATTATCGCAGAATCGGTTGCAAATGAAAGAAGTTGGAGAACTGGATATGAAACGTTTTGAAGCACTGTTATGTTGTGCGATGAACAATAATCCAGCATTGAATCATGAATGATTCCTTTGACGACAAGAATACCAATTTTGTGTTTACTGAGGGAGGCTATACCTCCTTGGTACCATTCTTTTTCCTGACTGAAATCGGAAGATTTTGAATATTCATTCCTGACAATTCTGTGAATCTGCAATTCGTTGTTCAACCCCACATGGCGAAATTCCGGCGTAACATCTCCATCAATCAGAGCAAGGAGAAGTTTGCAGGTAGGAAGATTCTGATTGGAAGACGAAAACTGAAAAGTTGAAGTGTTTTCCAATAAAAGACCATCAATTCTACAAGAAAAAGAACTCGACGGACCAAGAACTAACTCCGTATGAATCATTCTGAGAGGGATTTCAAAATCTTTTAGTGACGTTTTTATCGAAGAGAAGAACAAGGAATTTGTTACTTCAACTGCAAGTTTCATTTCGAGATCTTTACCATGAGAAAGGTGACTTCCAAGCTCAAACAACGACCTCTTATTTCTTTCAGTTGAATTGACTTGAGCTGAAAAAGAACTAACCTTGTCTTGAACTGATAAAGTTTGCCTATTATGTGACGTTGAATCGACCGAACTGGTTTTTCCTGCTTGACCAGTTTTTGGTATCGACCTGCTAAGAGTAACGTCAGTAGACAATTTTTTAAGCTGTCTGTTAGGTCTATCCGCGACATCTGCTAAATGTGGTGAGGCTCCGTTACTGGAACTGTTCACAAAATGTCTGCTACCCTTGAAAATTTCTGACAGTTTCACCCGTCTTTGTACACCTGCTTTCTTACTTTCCAGTTTCTCCGAGAGGGAACGCAAGAAATTGTCGTCTACTTTCTTGTCTTTACCATCCGACGAAATAAGAGGGAGTGAACTTAAATTAATTTTGTTCAAAGTTTCAAAAGATTTCGCTCCAGCATTTTGAAACTTTGTATAATTCGTGTCTGTGTAGGCGTTGGTGAAGTTTTCGCCAAAAAATCTGGGGGATCTTAAATCTTCATTATGTTCGTTTAACACTGGTGGTTTAGTAGCGATATTTCCATTCGCTGTGTTTGAAACAGCTTCCGGAAGACATGTTTCGAATTCATCTTCATCTACACATCGGTCTTCCATTCGCGAGGAAAGGCTTTCATCCCAAGATTCGATTGATTCTAGAGGTGTTCTTAAAGTTTTTTTTCCACAACTGATTTCTCCTTCAATCTTAGGATAAAACTGAGAATCTCCACTTTCCTCCGGCTTCCCCATGTTTACCCTGGGAGGTGACATATTTCTGACATTCGCTTTTGCACCTAAAATTCCCCCTTGTGACTTGCAAGTTTCTGGATGTAACGAAATTTTGTCTAAGTTTTCATTGCCAGTTGTTACATCTCCATTTCGACTGATTTTTAGATCAAGGTAGTTTATATTTCTGGAAGTATTTACCTCTGGCAGTTTGGTGGTTGGGGTTTTCATCTTATCTGTCCCTGGGATATGTCCCTCAGTTGCAGCGATATACTCTGGTACCCCTGGGATATCACCATGCGCCCCAGGGATATCAAAACCGCCCCAAGGTGTAGAATCATCAACTTCCTGGTTTTGTCCATCAAAATACCATGATATGTCATCAGCAACAACAGCGTCAACAAGATCAGTCTTCTTCAAGATGTCCAATTCAGCATCTGGATGACAAGAAATCCCTTTGGAGATGCTTTTGCTGTTCTCTTTGACGCCGTTAGAATCTTTAGCTGGAGGGCTCGAGTCTTGATGACTTTGCAAAGCTTCAGTTATATCAAAAGATGTCTGTTGACAAACCTCTTCACAGACTTGAAGTGCATCATCAAAAAGACGCACAATAATTGGGATGGGAACACCCTGAAAATTGTCATGTACAATCAAATTAAATAACTGGGACAGTAAATTCCTGATTAAGAGCTGAAAAGTGTTAGGTCCTTTTCAGAGAAAAAGAGGCTTACAGGAAACCTCAACTCTTTCAACAAATAGCATTCAAAATGTTCCAAATATACTACTCAATAGATCTGGCATAAAAAAATTGTCCTACCAAGGGATTTTTTTCATCAAAAAGAGTGAAAAACTACACTGCCAGTGTACTGAGCAACCATTACATGTCACCAGCCCAGAGTGCACTGTGCATTATTCAAGATGGCGGGCGCGGGAAATCCAAAGTGGCTGCTATAACCCTCTTTGGAAAAAGATAAAAAAAAAAAGAATAAGTTGCTTGGTAAGGCAATATTTTTTAATGCCAGATCTATCAGGAAGCGCAATAAGAACATTTTGAGTGCTATTTGTGAAAAGAGTGGACTTTCCCTTTAACTCTTCACATTATGACTTTTACATTATTGGCAGTAATAAGGTAACCCGATACAACATTATGTTGAACTATGTTCTGAATGACCCACGATGTTCAGGTCTGGTGTGCATGCTTTCAACTTACCGTATTTTCTCGGTTATAAGGCGCACTCGTTTATAAGACGCACCCTGAATTTTTGAACTCGTTTCTTTCAAGTTGTTAAGCCGAAAATTTCGCCTTAATACCCATTAGACTACAATGTCAATATCACTCATTGCCTTTCCTTCATTTGGTCGGATTTTGTTGTGGGGATTTTTTCGGCCCGATCCATCAATGATTTAACCACAGCTCGCTTATGCATACTAGGATGGTGCGACGAAAAAGACAGATAGCGATCAGTGTGGGTACGTTTCCGGTAGACGGTGGTGGTTAATCTTCCGTCTTCCTGGTGGTGAACCCTGGAGTCAAGGAAGGAAAACAACGAGTGATATCGACATTGCAGTCCAATGGATACCCCAAGCGTTTCATCTTGGGTGCCAGCAAGCCTAAACCACCCTTGAAAGACATAACCACCGTTGCAGAATCTGCACGGGGGCACTGTACAATTCCATACGTTAGCGGGACCTCTGAGCCAATAAAGAGAGTTCTAAAAAACCACGGCATTAAAGTGACATTTAAACACTATCAGACAATAAGCCAGATGTTTCCAAAACCGAAAGACCAAATTGACAAAGAAGAAACTCGTGACCCCGTTTACGACATTCCTTGCGCTGATTGCAGCAAGTTTTACGCTGGCGAAACGCAGAGAAAATTCATAACAACAAAAAGCGAGCACAAAATACTGTCGCGCGGCGACAAGGCGAAAGATCTGCACTTGCTGACCACCTGATAAAAACAAATCACGATATCGCAAGGGATTAGGCCACAATTCTCAGGAATAACAATAACTGGCACCAAAGAAAGATTCTCGAGGCCTGGAAGATTAACTGCGCCAAAGCCGGACCCACTCAACCGAGACGACGGGGCGTTACTCCCCAAGGAGTATTTACACTTGACTCTCGCTAACAAGAAAAAGTGACACGTATCTTGAATTTTAATCAGCGTCTTGTTTATATCTGCGCTTTTGCATAGAAATTTTTTCTTTCACTTCCCCTGAAGAAGGTCCGTTATTGCGACCGAAACGTCGGGAACATTTTTATTGTTTGTAATTTCAGAAACGCTTTTAACCACCAGTGAAACTTAGTTTGAATTCAAATATTGGAGCAACTTTAGAATACCCGTCCACATCATTTACGTGTGTCGGGAGGCTTTGAAGAATGAGGCATAACACAATAGACGCTATTCTTATTTAATAATATGTATCAAATATTTTTAAATTTCCCGATTGTTTTTCACTACCTCTGCTTCCGCTACTATTTTCAATTTAAAGTTCAGATCGTAAGTATGACGTAGCGTACCAGGCATGAGTTTTGTTTTGAACTTAGCAATGCTTACTGAATCGCCGTGAATGAAGCTTTACAACTAGGAGTTCGACCAGCTGAGACATGCTTATAAAGCTTAAACTGGATCAGTATATCCTTTATACAAGGCTAAAAGATTAGGAAAAAATTAAAAAGTTTGAACCAAACGTTTACGGCTGTGTCATTATCAGGGTTGAAAATAATGACCGTCTGCACATACATATATATCTTATGTAATTCCCGATGGGAAAGTTTGGAGACTAAGAATCTTATGTAATTCCTGATGGGAAAAGTTTGGAAGACATAAGAATGGTCAATTAGTATTCATAGCTTTAGAAGGTAACACTGTTTCCCAAGAAGGCAGACTGTATTCACGGTGTCCACATCTCTTTTATAGGTGTGATTTTTTTTTCACTTTGTTCGTGCAAATGTGTGACATTTTTTGCCCTTTGTTAAAAAAAGGCGACATGACTGTAATTAATAGGAACTTTGAAAACGCTATTGTTTTGAAAGTGAAGATAGTGAAAAAGCCCAAAGTTGAAGTTGCGTCTTATAACTGAGTATTTAGTTAAAAAATTCAGGGTGCGTCTTTTAACCGAGTGCGTCTAATAACCAAGAAAATACGGTGATTCAGAATGGTACACTTCACGTACAGGTGAAAAAGCTACGTCACGCACCTGATCTTGCAGATCCTGAACTGCACTGCTCCAGAAACCTGCCATACATATTAGAGTCTTGCAGCTTGTTCTGTATTTTTTGTACTGGCCTTGGCAAGCATCATTTAGGATAAATCCCGCTGGATGCTATGGTGGGCATTGAAAATAATTTTTACTGCTGACAAATATTCTTAAATGTAATAATTAATGTCACTGAGATAGGTATGCATTGAATTGAACAAAATATAGCAAGTGGACAAAATATGAATAAACAAGGGTGGATTAATAAGAAAAAGAGTTTTAAAAATATTCTAGTTATGGTCTTCACAAGTTTGAGATTCTAGCAAAACTGGATATTAATCTGCTTTCCAGTTCACATTAAAAGTATATTCAAAACTGCAGTGAATCGGAGAAAGTGGTTCCAGAAAAAAAACCACACCCACAGCAAGGGGGGTCAGTGGAAATTATTATGGGTAGAAGGGTATTGAAATTGATTCTTCGTAATCCTTCCACCCCCTGAGAGCGACTGGCATCTATTTTCTTCTTACAATATCACTCCTAAATCCCACATTAAGGTCATGAGAATTAAGGAAATGATCACCAACTAAAAAAGCTTTTGATTGTTTAACAAATTCTCCTCATCAGCACCTTAGGAAAGATATGGGAAACTGTACCCACTTATCTTAAATATATGCCTTACAGTAATTTCAAAAGAGAGTGGAAACATCAACTTTTACTCAACCAAACCTGATCATTTTACTTTGCTGCTGATCTACTCTTAAGGAAAAATGTAAACTTCAAAAAACTTCAA